CTGGTATCAAACCGAGCCTTCTTTGACTTCAAGCTGTTCATGCTATGCACTTTTTCGCAACCATGCAGATTGTTGAAATGCTCTAATAACTTTGATGTTTTGAGATTGCTGTTTGAAAATATCTTGGAACACAAGATGCATTGCAGTCGTTGCGTGCCATCTTTTTTGGTTGTGCAGGTAAATCCATAACCGGCATACTTATCGTTCCATTGTTGTTTTTAGACATAATGGGGCTCACTATAATCGATTTAATTATTTAGAAATAATGTAATATAATATATATAATGTTCTTACGTTTGTAATATCACTGAATCATATTCGTCTTAAATGGGCAATTAAGAATATATTAGTCTAGTCTCAAGATGTTTCTGGACAAGTCAGAATACACAATACACATGTCGCAAACACAATAGTTGACTCAACGTAACACAGGCGCAGTAGATGCAGATACAAATCTGTGAATCTGTAGATTCCATTGGAGTAGTACATATTGAACTCAGTGCATGCACAAGCTGGGATAATGTTCTCCGCTTGTATTCCCACAAAGTTTTTTTCTTTTCTCCATCACCTAGCTGCCTGTTCGTGTTCGTTTGTAGCATTTCATGCCTTTTCGTAGCGTAGTGTATACGCCCAGGCTCTTTCCTGTGTCTTTTGCCGATAAGTGAGCTAGGTGCTACCAATTTTTATTAGGTAGGGGCTTCTCCTGCACCCCCAAAAATACGCACCCCCGGTTAAGAACCACTGATCTGGAGTGATGAAAGCTGTTTTCAGTTTCGCTTCTTCAGTTAAAGGAATCTGTAAATATCCATGAGCTAAGTCCAATGTAGTGAAACCTTTACACTCACTAAGACATTCAAGAAGATTATCTATCCTAGAGAGTGGAAATTTATCTTTAACAGTTTGCACATTCAACTTTCTATATAATCTACCACTAATCGTGGTTCACCTGTCTTTTTCCTTTGAGTAAAGCTGGACTGGCATACGGAGATCTTGTTTCAGTAACAATTCCATATTTCTTCCATTCATTTATTATCTTCGTTATAGAAGCATGTTTCTTGGCACTGGTTTTATAAGACTTCATGCAAATAGGCTTACTCCCTTCAATTTCTTTAATATTCATTTTTGTTAAGTTTGTACACCCTAATTCCTCCATATTTAATGCAAAACAATCTCGATACTCATTTATCAAATCTAAAACTTTCTGTTTTCTGTCTGGCATAATATTGTTATTTACTCTATTTTTTTTAAAGTAATCAATCTCTTAAACTTTTTAATTTCATTTATTATCATTATTTCCTTTTGATTTGAATTTTCAGTTTTGTGATCTGTACTTGATTCAACTAACTCTGCTACTTTCACTCTACCGATACACTGATTCTCATTCAGAATTAATTTTCAATCACCGTAGTTATGACTGGTATCACTGTTTCTCCCTGTATTACTTCCAATAATGACCCCAACTCATCTTCCGATCCACTTATTAAAACCTAACCGTTATTTATTTCATCAGTTTTAACTTTCACGAAATTAACCATATTACTTTCGATTTCAGTTTCTTGGGAGGCCTTCAATTTAATTTGAGGAGTGTTTATGCGATTTTGCAACTGTGAAAATGGACATTCATTAATTAGCATAGTATATGTATGTGCAAGGTATTACCTATCTTGGTGTATGCAGTATGTGCTAAATCGATCCATGTTCGACCAACTAATAAGTAGCATGGCTGTGTTTCGTCTTCTACAATTAGAACTGTAATGTCCTTTCCTTCCACATTATCAATCTGTAAATTTACATTTACTTTTCCCAGTGTTCTAGCAGCTGATTTAGTCTGGTTTCCAAAGGCAAGCAATTCCTCCACATTAGGTCTTATTATCAGCGGTAACTGTTTTCTTTAATTGATCCGTAATAATAAGTTGTTTTAAAGAGTCAAAATCTGTTACATTTAATCCAGCAAGCCACTCTTCAAAATAATTTTTTAATTCAAATGTGAAGTCCTTCTGCGGATTAGGCAATGTTTTAATATGATCAACAAACTTTTGCCGAAACTGTTCAGGGCTTAACTTAAATTTTCTCATTAGCAGTTGTTTAATGTGCTTATAGTCGTTAGTGTTTTCTTCTGATTCACAGGCAATTAATTGAGTTATTTCATAAAGCAATAGACCCAACAGCTGAGAAACCCAATTTTGTTCTTCTAACTCAATATATCATGCCTGTCTCTCAAATAAGACTAAATAAAAACTTATATCACCTTCATTCCAAATCACACTTATGCATTAATTTATTCATATCACAAAAATTACTTTTACTAACATTAGAAGGAGCAGGATCATTTACATTACTACTTTTGATTTTCCACTTCTATTTTCAATTTTTCAAGTTCAGATATCTTTTGCTTACCTTTTTCTATAATTTCCATCTTTTCCTTTTCGAGTTCAAATGTTCTTTGCTTTTCTTTTTCTAATATTTCAATTTCAAATGTTCTTTGGTTTTCTAAATTTTTTAACTTTTCGTGTCTAAACGATCATTTGTAATTCTATCTAGCATTTGTTTAGTAAATTCTTTGTTATAGTTCTTACTATTCAAAATCATATCTCTTAAGCTTACAATTTTAATATCAGAAGGAATATCTATATCAAGTTCCTAGGCAAGTTTTTTTAAGTCACATTTCTTGCCCTTTGCCAAATAAGCCATCTAGACTTCAATTTTCAAATAGTAATACAATAATAATTTTTAATTCTTTCTGTTTAATAGTTAGACATAATATTAATAGTTTATAAATGCACATACTACTGTCAGTTTTGGCGAGCTTCCGCATTCAATTTAGGCTTAATGTACATTAAGATAATATGTTTTTAAATCCTTGGTAATAATTCTTGTTAATCCCGCTTCTGAATTGTTAGTTTACTTTCCTCATTAAGAAACATCCTTCACTTATGCAAATAAATCTTTATCCTGGCATTAGTTATATATCAGTGAGATGGTACGACTAAAAATGCAAAATTACTGTGTTCACTTCATAAATATTACCATTCAAATTGGCTTCCAGCAAAATGCTCTCTCATTGCCACTCGGGGAAAATATATTTAAAATAAAATCAATGTGTTGCATTTACACGTGTTTCTTTATAAAAGATTAAACATGTATTGGGTTGGCAACTAAGTAATTGCAGATTTTTTTTAGAAAATCAAAGACAATTTTTTTCATGGAACTAAATAACTTTATTCTGTAATGTATTGCCCATTTTGATCAATGACCTTTTGCCATCTTTCAGGCAGCATCATAATCCCACGTTCATAAAACTTCTGGTTTTTATTAGCAAAAAACTGAATCAGGTACGATTTGACATCATCATCATTATTGAAATTTTTACCATTCAAGGAGTTTTGTAAAGATCGAAACAAAAAGTAATCAGATGGTACAAGGTCAGGACTATATGGTGGATGTGGCAAAACATCCCAACCAAGCTCAACCAAGCATCCCAACCAATAATTTTTGCCGAGTGACCAAAGATGTGTGTGGCCTTGAATTGTCATGATGGAATACAACACCTTTTCAATTTGTCAATTCAGGCTGCTTTTCTTCAACTGCATTGTTTAATTTCGTTAGTTGTTCAATGTAGACATCAGAATTGATTGTTCGGTTGGGAGGTAAGAGTTCAAAGTAGACAATTCCTTTGTAATCCCACCAAACTGATAACAAAACCTTCTTTTGATGAATATCAGCTTTTGATGTTGTTTGAGTTGGTTCACCTGGTCTGCTCAACAATCTTTTCCACTTGATATTGTTGTAAACAACCCATTTTTCATCACCAGTTATCAGTCGTTTTAAAAATGGATCATTTTCATTACGTTTCTTTAGCAAATCGCAGCTGTTAATACATTGCGATAAATGCGTTTCTTTCAGTTCGTGAGGAACCCATGTATCGAGTTTTTGAACATAGCCAAGTTGTTTTAAGTGATTTTCAATGCATGTATGTGATACATGAAGCTTCTCTGCAATCTCACGTGTTGTACTGTGATGATCTGAATCGATTATTGCTTTGATTCGGTCGTCATCAACTTCAACTGGACGACCAGAGCGTTTTTCATCTTTGAGTGAAAAATCACCAGAACGAAATTTGGCAAACCAATTTTGACACTGCCGTTCTTTTAAGGCTTTGTCACCATAAAGAGCACAGAACTTTTTATGAGCTTGCGATGCGTTTTTCACTTTGCGGAAATAAAAAAGCAAAATATAACAAAAATGTTCCTTTTGATTTTCCATTTTTCAACGAACGCCAAACGAAAGCTATGCAACCGATCAAAAAACTTTTTTTACTGATTGACAGCTGAATTGCCAACTATCAAATAACAAAATGTGTTTTACATTTGTACTACGTCTGCAACCCTAAAAATTCAACTGAAGCCATCTATGAGTGAAATCCACAATTACTTAGTTGCCAACCCAATAATTTGAACGTATTATGCTTGTCGAATGGCTGCACACTGCCACTTAGGAGATCAAAGAATTTTATTTCCGACAGGGGCAACACGTTGCATCTAAAAACTGATTTTGTTGATCAAATTTGAAAGATGAGTAATTAAATTTGATGTTCAAATTAAGATGAAGGGGGGTCACAATTTTTAGTAGGATATAAACAGAAAAGAATAGTTTGTAACCTTAGAGAAAATATATATTTTTGGCCTTTTGTTGTTAAGTTTATGATGAATTTATTTATTGTTTATTTTAAATATGCTGTTGAATGAATTTAATATATTGCATCTCTTAATGTTTCTTCACTTTCTGCTGTTAATGGTGTGTGCTGTTACTGTGGCGCTTTAAAATTTATTTATCAGTACTTATTTACTGCATATGAAATACTACATAACTATTTGATGCCTCTTTTAATATTCATACCAGCTTGACAATTATTTCTTAATTTTTAAATCTTAATTAATCAGATATATTTGCAATAATATAAAAAAACAACATGCGAGTAAGAATATATTTATCCCCAATAGAGCGATGGAAAAAGTATCAACAATCAGCTGCAAGTGATGGAGCTGTACGAACTTGGGCAAATCAGGCTAGTCATAGAATCTTAATATATCTTGGAGACTTGGGTAAGTTTAAATGTATGCATATTACTTACTTTTTTTATAATTTGTTGTTGTACAAATAATTTTTGAAACATTAATTTTAGAATTTTAAAAATGCCATAAATTTTTTCAATCAGAGTTGTGAATTATTTCTGCTCTTATGCCTTCTGAATATTTACTTGTTTAAACTTCAGATTTTGGCTTCTTGCCTTTTATATATTTAAATATATACTATAAAGCTATCATTGGGAGGTTTTGCTTAATTTTTGATAATTACGTATTCTCATTAAATGCACTTTTTAATGAAAATACCACTAATACTTGTGTACTATATGTATGAAATCGCAAGGTAATGTTTAGTGTGTTCTATATTGCTTCTGATTTAAGAGTAATAATAATAAATTATAGCGTTTTTTGTTTTCATAATTTAAAAAACTTTTTTAAAGAAGTATTTTGATAATTTTTTTTTTTTTTTTAAATTTGATTTTAGAACGTTATATAGCTGAATTACGAGAACCTGATAGCAATCACCTTGCAGAACGTTATTATCAGCAAGCATTCTGCCTTAATAGCCAAAATGGTACTCCTCACAACCAGTTAGGTTCTCTGTATAACAATAGATTTGATTCAGCATACCATTATATGAGGTGGTAAGTATTTATCTGTTGTAATTAAAAAATGATTTTCTAATTATATATATGTATGTGTGTGTTTTAATTTCTGAATTTACTATTCTCTGAATGTTTTTGGTATTATTCAGGGCCCACCAGTGGCTGAACAGTAAAGTCACTGAACACTGGTAGTTTGACTCATGCTCAAATTCTGGCACAGGGGTTGCTTGCTTAGGAATTTTTATGGTTTTGCCTTTGTAGCATTCATGCAAGCTAATTTTCCTTAAAACATCCTCCATCAAAGCATCTCTTAGCAGACAATGTTTACACTATGCCTTCTTCTCGGAAACATAGAAAATCACAAGGATAGCTTTCATTACAAAAGAAAATGGATCTTTGAGGCTGATATGTTTGCTGAAGATTTGGGGAAGATCTATGATAAACTAATTACAATAAGACTGATGTTTTATCAACAAATGACTGGGAATGTACCTGATAATCGCTATAGATTTACTAGGGATAGATCAACAGATCAAGTGTTTAAGAATATCATGTGTCCCTGGTCTTATTTGGTGTTTGAGGTATCTTTTGATTCAGTTATATGGAACTCCTTTCTTGGGACATTAGACGATTTGAAAATACCTGATAATCTACTTGCAGTAATAAGAAATTATTTTAAAAATAGATGGATCCTAGTTACGGATGAAAATGTACAGGTACTTACTAAACGCCAATTGTTCAAGGGATGCCCGCAAGGCTCATGTTCTGCATACCTGATCTGGGGCCTAATTGCCAATAAGTTAATATACAATATTGACTTGAAAAATGTAGATTTTGTTTGTTTTGCTGATGATTTTTTATTTCTATTATATGAAAAATCGCTTGAGAAATTGTAAAATATGCTTAGTGACTTGGTGGAGCTATTGGAAAATTGGAGCTCTCAAGAAGAAATGGAATTTAATTTAGAAAAGACCTATGCAGTGTTTTTCCCGCAGAATGGTAGAACTATTTACCTCCTGGGTTGAAATATAATGCTAAATGATTAAAGTTTGTTGAGAAAATGAAATACCAATGCCAATGCCAATGATTTGAAAATTTCGGAGTGCCTATGGTTCAAAACCATTTTACCTCCATATCAGAATTACTAAAAGTGAACAGAAATAGGAAAAATTTGGCATAAGTGATTTACTTGATGCTCAATAGAGGGAGCCACAGGCTCGAGAAAGTTTAAGGATAGAGATGAGAAAATAAAAACTTAAGTATCATAATATTTTTTTATAAGTTTTTAGGTTTTTATAATTTTTTTATTTTATTTTATATTTTTTTTTTTTTTTTTGGTTTTTATAATTTTTTATACACAATACAAACACTAAAGCAAAAAGCGGATAGGAAAGAGTTTACGATTAATAGGCTCATTGGCATGTGGCTTGTGTAGGATAGTGCAAATAATAAAAAGGGAACGCGATGAAAATATTCATAGGCAGATTTTAAAATCTGCGGGAGATGTGATTCTATGCGAACAGATTGATAACTTTGCTAGAAGATCTTGATTGCAGGTATTGATGATGATAAAGCAATTATATGGCAGCTCGCTGAAGAGACGTCCTTCCTTCATGGCGCGGGGGCTGGAACTGAGGTTGAGAGGGCGTGTCTAGCCCTTTTGGATGGTGGGTAGATGTCGAACTCTCGGCCAATCACGGCTCTCGGTCTCTTCTGTGAGCTGCGAATAGCAGGATCGTATGCTGGCATCTGTTGAAGTGCTCGATTATCAATCTGTTCAATTTTAAGGAATAAATTTTGACTATGTTTTTTGATAAGGTAATCAACAGGTTTAATGTTAAGGTCCGAATGAATCACATCTGTACGGACGTACCAGGCTGCGTTTAGGGCCATACGTAAAGTTTTACTTTGAAAAGATTGAAGTTTTTTCACATGAGTTTTTGCAGCAGTAACCCCAGATTGTACATGCATACATAAAGACAGGTCTTATAATTGATGTATAGAGAAGAATTTTGTTTTTAATTGACAGATTGCTCTTTCGAGCTAAAAATGGGTAAAGTTGGGCTCTAGCACCTTTTGCTTTGTTGAGAACATTTTCAATGTGAAGGCGCCAGAGTAATTTTGAATCAAGTACAACTCCTAGGTACTTGTAAGAATTTGACCAGGGAACATAGTCATCAAAGAATTTAATATTAATGGAAGGGTACGGGAGGGGGCTACGTTTGAAGATCATAGCAGCACATTTAGCAACATTAATTTTTATTTTCCAAGTGATGAGCCAGTGCTCAAGGCTAGAGAGATATCTCTGAATGATTTGGACCAAGTTTTCAAGGCGTTTGTGTTGGGCTAGGATGGCCGTATCATCTGCATAAAGTGCAAGAGTGATACTAGGTGATTTTGGTATGTCATTTATGAAAATGTTGAACAAAATTGGGCCTAAAAGTGACCCTTGGGGGACGCCGCTTAGTATAGGACGGGGTGCCGAAATGAAAGAATTAACTCGTACAGAAAAAGATCTATTAGTGAGGTACGAATTAATTATATGAATTAAATGGGCCGAAACGTCAAGTCGTATGAGCTTGATAATGATTCCTATATGCCAAGTCCTATCAAATGCTTTGGCTATGTCAAGAAATAAAGCGCCAGTAAGCATTTTGTTACGAAACCCTTCGTGAATGAACTCCACTGTCCTCAGCAGCTGGTGCGTAGTGCAGTGTTTTGCTCGAAATCCAAATTGTTCATCAATCAGAACGTTGTGATTTCGAAGAAAATCATTCAGGCGTTTAAGTAACACAAATTCGTATATCTTTGATAACGATCATAGGAGGCTGATAGGTCTATAATTTTGAGGGTTTGAAAGGCTTTGGCCTGGTTTTGGAATAGGCACAATAAGTGCTTGTTTCCAGCTTTGAGGAAAATAGCAATGCTGAATCATAAAATTTATAAGCATTACTAAGAAAAATAGATAACTGGTGGGTAAATTTTTAATCATACGATTAGAAATAGAGTCCATACCAGGGGCTTTTTTGGGTTTGAGCTTGGTAATGTATTCACTTACCTCGCTCATGGATGTATACTGTATTTCTCTCGCGAAAGGCGAGGAGAGGAAACGTTCAACATCTTGTGGGAAAGAACTTGCGTTGTTCGCAAAAATTCCTTCATTATGTGGTGTAAATTGAGTTTGAAGAGAATCCGCAATTAATTCGGATTTCTCAGCGTCTGTGTGAGCCACCGCTGCGTCCGTAGCTAAGGACGGAATGTTAGATTTGTGTTTGCGTAGGCGGGCTGATGCGCGCCAAAGACTGTTATCATTGGTCGTTAGGGACTGAATGTAATTCGTGTATTGTGATTGGAAAGAACTGGTCACATGATGCCTTGATCTCATTTTGGAGAGTACGGAGTTGAATTTTTAATCCAGGATTTCCTAATTCTTTGCCAAAGTCTCCGTACTTTATTCTTTTCTTTAATTTTGAGTTTAATTTCTTGGAGGTAATTTACGAAAATTGGGTCTAAGGGTGGGTTTTGATACTTCCTTATAAGTATCTGTTAAAATGGTCGTTAATTGATCAACTGCCGAGTCTATATCATGGCTGGATTTAATTTCAAGGGAGGGCAAATTTTTACTTTTAAGTTTGAAACAAAAATTGTCCCAGTTTGTAGAGACGAGTGCCGGAGAATTTTGATTAAAAAAGTATTTGATTAAGAAAGTACAGTTAAGGTCTATGATCACGGGGTTGTGATCTGAAGATAAACAGTTTTCAACAGTCACGTGATATCCAAAAGGGATGTTTCGAAAGAGTGCTAAATCAATGAATGAAGGGGCACCCCGTGAACCATATCTAGTGGGGGAATCCGGCGCAATAATTTTAATTTGGGCGCACTGAGCCCATTTTAGAAGGCCACGACCAGCAGGGTTTGATCTGTAACAACGCCAATGCTGATGGTGACAATTTAAATCACCAGCTATGATTAGATTGTTGGATAAGGTGAGCAATTTGTTAAAATCAACCACAGGTAAATTTCCACCTGGTGGAAGATAGGCAGAGATCATTACAAGGGAGGGCGAATTTTGAATGAAAATTTCAATGATTGTTGCCTCGAGTTTACTCATACTCGGAGTGTCAATTCTTTTGTGTGGTATTGAATTTTTAATATAGACACAAGTGCCACCATGATAAACATCACGAGTACTAGAAGCTTGTCTGTCATTTTTATATAATGCATAATTTGCAAGCTTGGGAGCTCTCCCTGGCTGGAGTTTGGTCTCTTGGACAAAAATAATATCAAAATCTTTCTCTTTTACATAGTCTCTAACTCATGGAATTTGGATAGGATACCATTAGCATTCCAGGTGCATAGTTTTAAGTTTTTCAATCCTTTCAAATTATTGAATTTTACTGTCTGGGGATATCAGAGAATTGGAGAGTAATATAACTCTCAAAGATGTAGTATGCCGCGTCAGCACCAGATGGAGCCACTCTGAGCTGCGGTAAGGCGTTTTTGAATGCCAAAAGAAGTCTGCTCTGGTCAATACCAGGCTGGTTTGAAATTTGAATAATTGCCAAAAGGATTTCGGTGCAATTTAGCGTCGAATTAGCTCCTAAAGGGACCGATAAATTTGGAATAATTTGGGGTGCAGTCTGTTGCATAGCCGTAAGGGCTGCGGAGAATGAAACTCCAGGGCGAATATTATTTGCACTGGGTGTGGGTGCAGCTGACAGTGTTGGAAATTGTATGTTGTTTTTGAGATTAATATTGTTTGCGTTGGTTTTTTCAGTGGTCAGGCTGGGTTTGGTGCTCGGTTTCGGGTTTTGTCTATTTCTTGAACCAGGAAATCTTGGGCAGGAGCGCCAGTTAGCGGCATGGTTCCCGGAGCAGTTGGCGCACTTGTTTGGCTCTTCAAACGGTTTCGGGCAGTCTTTGGCTTGATGTGGACCAGCACATTTTACACAGCGTCTTGGGAGCGTGCACACCTCGGACGAGTGAAAGAACCCTTGACAGCGCCAGCACTGTGAAGGGCCTTTCTGGCCTTTGAAGTG